GATCTGCAAATTACAACTCGAGACTCGTATTTACTGTCTATACGATGACACATCAATACAGCATTGGCTTGCTGGTTCTTGTAGTCCCCCAGGGAGGACACAGAGGTGCCATTAGCCTGTCATAGAGGGAGTGGAGGGGTTAATAATCCAGGACTCCTGTACCACCATCCCTGCACAGACAATCCCTCCCCGCTGCCCCTCACCCACACACCCTGCAGCTGACATGTGCAGCCTTCATTTCCGGGATCTCCACAGGAAGTACTCCCCCCCCCCTTCACAACCAGCTTTATTGACACTTGGAGGAGCAGTGTGCTGAGTGTCAGCTGGGAGAGATTTGTGAAATAATAGCCATCCACCTCCTCCCCACACAGTGCAGGAAAAATCTGCCCCCCCCCTCCGCTGCAGGATCAGTTTTCGGGAGCATTAGCATTTTGCGTTTTTGATGCATTTTGCGTATAATGAGAACGCTCACAAAATTCTATTCTATCAGTTTTAGCGTTTTTGCCACGTTTTTGATGAATTTTGCATATTTTGCATATAATAAGAATGCTCACAAAATTCTATTCTATCAGTTTACGGGAGCATTAGCGTTTTGCGTTTTTGCCGCATTTTTGATGCATTTTGCGTTTTGCATATTTTGCATATAATAAGATCGCTCGCAAAATTCTATTTTATCAGTTTACAGGAGCATTAGCGTTTTGCGTTTTTGCCGCATTTTTGATGCATTTTGCGTATAGTAAGAACGCTCACAAAATTCTATTCAGTTTAAGGGAGCATTAGCGTTTTGCGTTTTTGCCGCGTTTTTGATGCATTTTGCATATTTTGCATATAATAAGAACGCTCACAAAATCTATTCTATCAGTTTACGAGAAAATTAGCGTTTTGCGTTTTTGCTGCGTTCTTGATGCATTTTGCATATTTTGCATATAATAAGAACTCTCACAAAATTCTATTCTATCAGTTTAGGGGAGCATTAGCGTTTTGCGTTTTTGATGCATTTTGCGTCCAGTAAGAACGCTCACAAAATTCTATCAGTTTACAGGAGTATTAGCGTTTTTGCAACGTTTTTGATGAATTTTGCATATTTTGCATATAATAAGATCGCTCACAAAATTCTATTCTATCAGTTTACGGGAGCATTAGCGTTTTTGCGTTTTTGCCGCATTTTTGATGCATTTTGCGTATAGTAAGAACGCTCACAAAATTCTATTCAGTTTTCGGGAGCATTAGCGTTTTGCGTTTTTGCCGCGTTCTTGATGCATTTTGCGTATTTTGCATATAATAAGAACGCTCGCAAAATTCTATTCTATCAGTTTACAGGAGCATTAGCGTTTTGTGTTTTTGCCGCGTTTTGCGTATAATAAGAACGCTCATGAAAATTCTATACTTAATTAGGCAAATGGAAACAAAAATGGAAGAGAGGAAGTATACTCCCCTTAACCCCAGGTGCACACCGATGCGTTTTCTGCAGCATTTTGCGGAAACGCACAGCAATCCATTTAACATGATTTCTTATGAGATGGGTTCACGTCTCCACGTTTTCACCCAGAGCATTTTTTTTGGGGTCGGGGAGTTTTTTTGAATGCAAAAAGTTGCATTTTTGGTTCTATAGACTTCAATGGAAAACGCTGCAGACAAGCATGTATTGCGTTTTTGCTGCATTTTTGCCGCATTGCCCATTTGATGCATTTTGCATTTTAAATCTGCCTAGCAACAAGAGAAAAAACCACGAAACGCAGCAAAAACGCAAAGCATAATGCAAAACGCAATGCAGAAACGGCTCAGACGCAACCTGCATAGGTGTGAACTTAGGCTGAGCCCTGGTTCACACTGATGCGGTGCAGAATTCACAGCGTTTTCTGTGCGAATTCCGCACCGCATCAGAACTATTATTATTATACAGGATTTATATATTATTATTATTATACAGGATTTATATATTATTATTATACAGGATTATATATTATTATTATTATTATACAGGATTTATATATTATTATTATACAGGATTTATATATTATTATTATACAGGATTTATATATTATTATTATTATACAGGATTTATATGGCGCCAACAGTTTGCTCAGCGCTTTACAATATAACGGGAGACAATACAGCAACAATACAGTTCAATACAAGAGGGATAGGAGGGCCCTGATCCTTGGGAGCTTACAATCTAGGAGGGAGGGGCTAGTGGTACAAAAGGTAGTAACTGTGGGGGATGGACTGGTAGGAGGAGTAGAAAATTCCATTATCAGCTGAGGGCAGGATAGCCTTCCCTGAAGAGAGAGGTTTTCAGAGATCGCCTAAAAGTGAGCAGAGTAGGCGATAGTCTGATAAATTGGGGTAGAGAGTTCCAGAGGATGGGGGAAGCTCTGGATAAGTCATGGAGATGAGCATGGGAGGAGGAGACAAGAATCGCACCCCGTTCATGGAAACTGCTGCGGGTGTGTATGTTAAGTTAACAACACCCCGAAATCAGTCTGCAAAACTCGGTGCGATGTGCAGAATCGGATTGTATAGGTGTGAATACCCATGCGATCCGATTCTAGTGCGGACCCAAAAAAAAGGGTGCTGCACCTTTTTGGTGCGGGTGCGGTGCGATTAGAGCCATACAAAATGTACGGCTCCAATCGCACTGCACACAAATTGCATGTGATCTGTACAGGAATGCGGTGCGGTTCCTGTGCGAATCACATGCGATGTACTGCACCGCATGTATGTGAACCCGGGCTAAAGGTAGATTTAGATGTGTGCCTAAATCTACCTCTCCTCTGAAACACGATCTGCGTTCAGATCACCTATTATTTATTTCAGGTACTTATATAGCGCCATCAATGTACGCAGCACTTTACATATATATTGTACATTCACATCAGTCCCTAACCCTCAAGGGGCGTACAATCTAAGGTCCCTAACCCTCAAGGGGCGTACAATCTAAGGTCCCTAACCCTCAAGGGGCGTACAATCTAAGGTCCCTAACCCTCAAGGGGCGTACAATCTAAGGTCCCTAACCCTCAAGGGGCGTACAATCTAAGGTCCCTAACCCTCAAGGGGCGTACAATCTAAGGTCCCTAACCCTCAAGGGGCGTACAATCTAAGGTCCCTAACCCTCAAGGGGCGTACAATCTAAGGTCCCTAACCCTCAAGGGGCGTACAATCTAAGGTCCCTAACCCTCAAGGGGCGTACAATCTAAGGTCCCTAACCCTCAAGGGGCGTACAATCTAAGGTCCCTAACCCTCAAGGGGCGTACAATCTAAGGTCCCTAACCCTCAAGGGGCGTACAATCTAAGGTCCCTAACCCTCAAGGGGCGTACAATCTAAGGTCCCTAACCCTCAAGGAGCGTACAATCTAAGGTCCCTAACCCTCAAGGGGCGTACAATCTAAGGTCCCTAACCCTCAAGGGGCGTACAATCTAAGGTCCCTAACCCTCAAGGGGCGTACAATCTAAGGTCCCTAACCCTCAAGGGGCGTACAATCTAAGGTCCCTAACCCTCAAGGGGTGTACAATCTAAGGTCCCTAACTCACATTCATACATACACATACTAGGGACAATTTAGACAGGAGCCAATTCACCTACCAGCATGTCTTTGGAGTGTTGGAGGGAACTGGAGTACCCGGAGGAAACCCACGCAGGCACAGGGAGAACATGCAAACTCCAGGCAGGTGGTGCCACTTTTTCGGAGACAGTTGACAGGTGGCGTTAATGTGGCCTCTCCTCACCACTAATTTGAACCCTATTTTTTCGCCAACAAATATGTCGCAACTGCAAGCATTGCACACTGTTGCGGGGCTTTTGCAGCGCTTCTCTTGTCCTGTATGCCGGCTGTCATTTTCTGTTTTACTCTCCAGAGGATTTCCCCCCCTTCCTGACCAGGCCATTTTTTTTGTTACGGCGCTGACTTACTTTAACTGACAATTGCGCGGTCATGCAACGCTGTACATAAATTTATGCCATTTTTTCCCCCACAAATAGTTTTCTTTCAGTGGTATTTGATTGCCTGTGCATTTTTAATTTTTTGTGCTATAAACAAAAAAAGACCGACAATTTGGAAAAAAAAAAACAATATTTTCGACTTTCTGCTATAAAACATGTCCAGTAAAAAAATTTAAAAAATCACGTTTCGTCACAAATTTAGGCCAAAATGTATTCTGCTCCGTGTCTTTGCTAAAATAAATTCCCAATACATGTAAATGAATTGGTTTACATGAAAGTTATAGCATTTACAAAAGGCGGTATATATACTAGAGTTTTTGCTTTTATTTTTTTATACTAGTAATGGCGGCGATCAGCGACTTATAGTGGGACTGCGGTGGGCATTCTGACACTGGGGGGGAACTGACTTGGTGTCACTCACATCCCCAGTGACACCAATACAGTAATCAGTGCTAATAAAGAGCACTGACACTGTACTAATGGCACTGGGCAGGAAGGGGTTAATGTGAGGGGCGATCAAAGGGTTAACTGTGTGCTGGGAGTGTTTTACTAGGGGGCGGGGTGTTTCACTGTAATCACACTGCTCTGGATGGCTGTGCTGTGCAGTCAAGCTGAGAGGGAGGAAGACTGTTTGTAAACAAACAGTCCTCTTCCCCATCGATGATCATCGGAAATCAGCGGTCATGGCCGCAAATGGTGGTGCAGGTAGGTCACGCGCATCCCCTACTCGGAAATGCAAAATCACGTATACCGTATTTTCCGGCGTATAAGACGACTGGGTGTATAAGACGACCCCCTACTTTTCCTGTTAAAATATAGGGTTTGGGCTATACTCGCCGTATAAGACTACCCCTCTTCCAACGCACACCAAATAAAAATTAAAAAACATCAGATTTGATTTCAATATGGTATGGTAAACCAATGATGGGGCACGATTCCTCGCTCTGACACCAATGATGGGGCACGATTCCTCGCTCTGACACCAATGATGGGGCACTATTCCTCCCACTGACACCAATGATGGGGCGCTATTCCTCCCACTGACACCAATGATGGGGCGCTATTCCTCTCACTGACACCAATGATGGGGCACTACGCCTCCCACTGACACCAATGATGGGGCACGATTCTTCCCCACTGACACCAATGATGGGGCACAATTCGTTGCTCTGACACCAATTGATGGGGCATGATTCCTCGCTCTGACACCAATGATGGTGCCCCATCATTAGTGTCAGTGTGTGAGGAATAGTGTCCCATCATTAGTGTCAGTGGGAGGAATAGCGCCCCATCATTGGTGTCAGAGCGAGGAATAGCGCCCCATCATTGGTGTCAGAGCGAGGAATCGTGCCCCATCATTGGTGTCAGAGCAACGAATTGTGCCCCATCATTGGTGTCAGTGGGAAGAATCGTGCCCCATCATTGGTGTCAGTGGGAGGCGTAGTGCCCCATCATTGGTGTCAGTGAGAGGAATAGCGCCCCATCATTGGTGTCAGTGGGAGGAATAGCGCCCCATCATTGGTGTCAGTGGGAGGAATAGTGCCCCATCATTGGTGTCAGTGGGAGGAATAGCGCCCCATCATTGGTGTCAGTGGGAGGAATAGCGTCCCAACATTGGTGTCAGTGGGAGGAATAGTACCCCGTCATTGGTGTCAGTGGGAGGAATAGTGTCCCAACATTGGTGTCAGTGGGAGGAATAGTACCCCGTCAGTGGGGAGAGGAATAGTGCCCCATCGTTGGTGTCAGTGGGGGGAGTAATAGTGCCCCTTCATTGGTGTCAGTGGGAGGAATAGTGTCCCAACATTGGTGTCAGTGGGAGGAATAGTACCCCGTCAGTGGGAGGAATGGTCAGTGGGGAGAGGAATAGTGCCCCATCGTTGGTGTCAGTGGGGGGGGAGGAATAGTGCCCCATCATTGGTGTCAGTGGGGGGAGGAATAGTGCCCCCTCTGCACTGCACACTTACCAGCTCCCTCACTCGATTTTTGCGGGTCCGCTCGGCTCCACCTCCTCGCCCGTGATTGGCTGCCTGTGTGCCTTTCCTGAGCTACAGTTCTGGCGGACAATCACCGGTGAGGAGGCGGAGCCGAGCGGCAGGAGTGAGGGAGTGGCCGGAGTGACTGAAGGAGCAGCGCTTCCTGGACTGGATCGTCGTGGGAGCCAGGTAAGAGACAGCAGCCCTCTGCCCACCCCTGTACTTGGTGTTCCTTCCGTCGGAAGGGGGGGATGGCGGCTGCACCGCGCCGCCCCCCTAAAAAAAGTGCCGCCCTGACGTATACTGTCGTATAAAACGACCCTCGACTTTTGAGAAGATTTTCAAGGGTCAAAAAGTCGTCTTATACACCGGAAAATACGGTATATACGTGATTTTGCGCACCCGTGCCACTCTGTAGCGGTATTTATGCTATAGGTCGGTCGGGAAGCGGTTAAAAGTCAGTAGCAATGACATTGGGCAGGAAGGGGTTAACATCTGGGGCAATCAAAAAGGGTTAACTGTGTGCTACTTTAATAGGAAGACATGCTGTTGTGCAGAGAGATACAAAGCAGCATGTCCTTTCTGGCAAGAGAGAGACCTGTGTTGTTTACACACAGGTGTCTCCTCTGTCAGCTTTCCCCAACGATCGCTGAAAGCCAGCGGGGAATCGCCGGCTGGGGCCCGGTGGTTGACATGTCTAGTCGCCAATAGCAGTGCAGGTAGGGTGGTGTGCGCCCCCTACCTGATAATGCAAAGCACGTATATATATATGTGATTTTTGCGCAGCCCTGCCGCCTTGTAGCAGTACTTCTGCTATAGGGCAGATGGCAAGTATGTATGGACTCTTCAAACAGCAAAGCAAGTGAAACGAGATCTTACGATCATCTGTCAACACTGTGTGCCAACTCTGTGCATTGCAGTGGTCAGTGTCGTTCACATGGTCACGTTTGTGTCGCTCCTCGTTTTGTTGGGCCAAAATTTAACCGACAGCTTTGGTCCTCATGCACACGGGACATTTTTACGAATACCCCTACGGCATTTAAGCACCAGTTGCACAAATCGCTGGATCTTTGCAATGTTGTCAAAACGGCGACCTTTGAGCTGGATCTTCATCTTCGGGGGCTGAGCTTGTTGAAGGTCTTCGTGATCTCTCATTGTCTTCCAGCGATGTTCTTCTGCTTGCTGCCCATGATGAAATAGCAGACACATGATCAGAATAGCACCAGTTGCACAGCTCCCGATGTACACAGGATAAAGAAATTCTGCTGAAACCGGGCAAATCGCTGGATCTCCGCAATGTTGTCAAAACAGTGACCTTTGAGTTGGATCTTCATCTTCGGGGGCTGAGCTTGTTGAAGATCTTCCTGATCTCTCATTGTCTTCCAGCAATATTCTCCCGCTTGCTGTTCATGATGAAATAGCAGACGTGGTAACGCATGTGGTCAGAATAGCACCAGTTGCACAGCTCACGATGTACACAGGATGATGAAATTCTGCTGAAACCGGGCAAATCGCTGGATCTCCGTAATGTTGTCAAAACGGCGACCTTTGAGCTGGATCTTCATCTTCAGGGGGCTGAGCTTGTTGAAGGTCTTCCTGATCTTTCATTGTCTTCCAGCAATGTTTTCTCGCTTGCTGTTCATGATGAAATAGCAGACACATGATCAGAATAGCACCAGTTGCACAGATCACGATGTACACAGGATGATGAAATTCTGCTGAAACTGGGCAAATCGCTGGATCTCCGCAATTTTGACAAAACGGCGACCTTTGAGCTGGATCTTCATCTTCAGGGGGCTGAGCTTGTTGAAGGTCTTCCTGATCTTTCATTGTCTTCCAGCAATGTTTTCTCGCTTGCTGTTCATGATGAAATAGCAGACACATGATCAGAATAGCACCAGTTGCACAGCTCACGATGTACACAGGATGATGAAATTCTGTTGAAACTGGGCAAATCGCTGGATCTCCGCATTGTTGTCAAAACGGCAACCTTTGACCTGGATCTTCATCTTCAGGGGGGGTTGAGCTTGTTGAAGGTCTTCCTGATCTCTCATTGTCTTCCAGTGATGTTCTTCCACTCATGAAGAGCATGTGCCACTCAAAACACCTCAAACGACTCATTGCAGCATCGCTGTAAACTTGCCGAATTATATCAAATGTCTCTGTGGCAGATTTGCCCGGTTTCATGAAGAAAATTGCTCTCTGTTCTAACTTGCTGTCCATGATGAAATAGCAGATGTGGTAACGCACATGATCAGAACAGCACCAGTTGCACAGCTCCCGATGTGCACAGGATGATGTCTTTTGGCACATTGACTAAAGGTCGGTGCTCCCTGTGACTGTGCGTGCAGCCTTCTACTGCCTATCTTTTGGCGTGATACAAAACTAGTCTCGAAACGTTTTGATATCACCTTGTATGTACGGACTGTGCACAGTACCACTTCTCTTGTCCCGTATGCCGGGTGTCTGTTCCTATTCTGTATGTATGGACTCTGCACAATGCTCCTCCTCTGGTCCTCGCCCTTGTAGTCAGGACTACAGCTGAGATCTAAAGTATAACAGGTTCCTGGTAATAAAACATAAGGACTGATGACGTGAATGATGGTAACTGGGGTGAGCTGATAAATATGGATATACCATAAAATGAGGTCTGTGATCTCCAGAGGATTAGAGGTTTTTTATCCCTTTACAGCACAGATAAGGAATCTGATTGAGAATAGGCCATCCGCATTAACTATTTCACTGCAGAAGCAGGTAAGAATTTCTTTCTTTGTTTTCTGCAGGTATGAAAATAATCTCAACGATATTTATGTAAGAGAAAGGGAAGTATTCAAATAAGGGAGGCTGGAGAATACAAATAATGCCACAGTAACAAAAGTAACAAAAGAAACATTGTAAGAATGTCGGGAAATATTTGTTGTTCAAAAGCTCAAGGTAAAAGGAAATGAAAGCAATAGTAAACCCAGCAAACGTTTTATTATATTGCAGTTTGTCAATTCTTCAATGTGATGGCTGCATTTGTTTTCTTCTTTAGCCTGAGTTGACATTATTATTATTATTATTATTACTATACAGGATTTATATATATTATTATTATTATTTATATTTATTATACAGGATTTATATATTATTATTATTATATTACAGGATTTATATATATTATTATTATTATACAGGATTTATATATTATTATTATACAGGATTTATATATATTATTATTATACAGGATTTATATATTATTATTATTATTATACAGGATTTATATATATTATTATTATTATTATACAGAATTTATATATTATTATTATACAGGATTTATATATTATTATTATACAGGATTTATATATATTATTATTATTATTATAATACAGGATTTATATATTATTATTATACAGGATTTATATATATTATTATTATTATTATAATACAGGATTTATATATTATTATTATACAGGATTTATATATATTATTATTATTATTATTATACAGGATTTATATATTATTATTATTATTATTATACAGGATTTATATATTATTATTATACAGGATTTATATATATTATTATACAGGATTTATATATTATTATTATATTTATATATTATTATTATACAGGATTTATATATATTATTATTATTATTATTATACAGGATTTATATATTATTATTATACAGGATTTATATATATTATTATTATTATACAGGATTTATATATTATTATTATACAGGATTTATATATATATTATTATTATTATACAGGATTTATATATTATTATTATTATTATTATTATACAGGATTTATTATATATTATACAGGATTTATATATTATTATTATTATTATTATACAGGATTTATATATATTATTATTATTATTATTATACAGCATTTATATATTTATTATTATTATACAGGATTTATATATTATTATTATACAGGATTTATATATATTATTATTATTATTATACAGGATTTATATATTATTATTATTATACAGGATTTATGGCACCAACAGTTTGCTCAGCGCTTTACAATATAAAGGGAGACAATACAGCAACAACACAGTTCAATACAAGAGGGATAGGAGGGCCCTGATCCTGGGAGCTTACAATCTAGGAGGGAGGGGCTAGTGATACAAAAAGGTAGTAACTGTGGGGGATGGACTAGTAGGAAGAGTAGAAGATTCCATTATTAGCTGATGGCAGGATATGTGCGGTGCGGTGTATTGCATGTGATTCGCACCGCATTCCTGTGCAAATCACATGCGATTTGTGTGCGGTGCAGTTGGAGCCGTACATTTTGTATGGCTCTAATCTCACTGCACCCGCACCAAAAAGGTGCAGGACCCTTTTTTGGGTCTGCACTAGAATCGGATCGCATGGGTATTCACATGTGATCTGATTCTACACATCTCATCACTTTGACAGAGGACAAGGGGGCGCTCTTTACGTCTGGAGGAAAAGAAATTTAATCTTCAAACATGTAAAGGTTTCTTCACAGTAAGAGCTGTGAGAATGTGGAATAGACTCCCTCCAGAGTTGGTTGTGGCCAGCTCAGTGGATTGCTTTAAAAAAGTCCTGGATTCCTTCCTAGATACACAGAA